GAGGGGGAGGGGGGGATAATTCCTGGTTGGATTTTAGTCCTGGTCCTGGTCCTGCGGAGAGGAACATAAACATGAAGGCTGACGTGGACGTGGACGAGAAAGGGAACGAGAAAGAGGGCGCAAATGGGTATGCGGCGTTGAAAGGGCAGGGAGTGAGGATGAAGCCTAGGGGTGCTGGTGCTAGTAATAAAGAAGGAAGACACGGGACATGGAGGAAGGAGGAGGAAGAAGAGGGGAGTGGCTTTATTTGAACCAACGGAACTTGTATATAATATATCTACCTACTTAAAATTTGCATAGTAAGGCCTTGATGGCCCGGAGTGAGTTTAATGGATGTCAGTTAGCATACAAGTAACAAGGGCCCCTTGACGCACGTAATACCAGATTCACAATGGAAGTCTCTTTCGACCCATAGAGGTACATAGCAGTGAGACAAAAAGAGAAAAGAAAGACCAGAAGAAAAAAAAAGAAGAAACGGAACTGTGCGCAGTCCGGGATTCGAACCAGGGTCGCTATGTCGTTTGATCAACCTCTTTGGGTCAGTCCTTGCCGGCGGCGTTTGGAAAACGAGAGTACTGAACCACTGTACTAACTGCACTTCTCCTTTTTTTGGTTGTTGAATGTGACTCGGGGAGGCAGGCTTATGAAGGGGCAAGTGACGAAGGTGGTTCAGGTAGGTAAGGTAGGTAGGTGTTGTTTGCTGCCTGTCTGGTCTGGGTCCGGCTGGTTTTAAAAGGATGGAAGGAAACAAGGACGGGGGAAGGAAGGAAGGTAGAGGTACGCCAGGTACCCGTACCTCCGTCCTTAGCTTGGGAGTTGACAATTGGCCAGCGTACTGGCAAGAGACACCTGGCAGTGCCGGGGTATTGCTGTGAGGAAAACCAATGGCTGAGTGGCACCAGACTTTTGTCGAGCACATGGGAAGTTGAAGAGTGTAGTCTGGGGTTCACGTACCTCTAGAGACACTCAAACAGATCACCAATGGAAAAAAAACATATCATTTGGTATCGTCTAGGCTACCGGGCTTTGCTCAGGCTAATTACCTCTAGGTGTTGATATGTCTAGACTCCAGACACTGGAGGTTGGCTATGCGGGCACCTAGGTCAGGGCAATCCGACATCTTGAACTCCACGCTCCTTCCCAAGTTCCAAGCACGTTCTAGTCGGTCAGTGATTAAAGCAGAACACTCACGGCTTCAAGCTTGCAAAGTGGACTGGACATCGTTGCCCCACATGGGCCCAGCCATGCACATAAGCTCGTGAACCTCACGTTTACTCCTCTTTTACAGCAACAGCCTTCGTAGGTAGTGACGCTCCACATCACTTCACCGCCGTGACTTGGAGATGATGGCGTACGTCTCTATGCGCGGTATCACGGGCCATGGCCATTATCCTCGCGACGATGCGCTGGAGCCGTTGGTTAAGGTGATGTATGAGCCGAGAGACACTCAGAATTTCCAGGAGACTTCACATCAGTTCGCCAGAAAACCCGGCCGCCCTCGTAAGGCAACGAGTATGTGCCCCCAGCGCAGCCAAAACCTCACACAAAAGCCGCTGAAGCCGAGACACCCACAGCAACAACTACCACCACGACAACCACCGGTGCCACCCCGCCGCCGCCGCCTCTGGACACCCTAAAGAAGGAAAGGAGCCAAGGACAAGTCTATTAAGGATGATTGGCATGAGTGTGGTTCCGGAAGTTTAGCACAACTCTCCCTTTGTGGTTACGGTACCGAGCCGCCAAATCACTCCTTTTCTACTTGTGCCAGCTTTCCCGCTTCCTTCGTTCATGACAAGCCGGGAAGATTCTTGAAAGAATCTCACCAAGACCTCCAACAGGCTTGCCCGAAAGGAAAACTAAGGTGCCGCTGTCTGCTCCCCTTCAGTTACGGGAGCGGTCTACAATGCCTATGACCCTCCCGTCAGTGTCCCGACCGGCCGTCGCAACTCGCGGTGCGATCTCAAGTTTGAGGGACATCTAGACGGAATTGGTCCTGGAGGTGTGTTCGGATGGAGCAAGGATACCGTCCGTGGCACACCCAGCAACTTGGCCCAAACAACACCAAACTCTATGGCCACTGCCCGAAAGCTCGGCAAGCCCACTCTCTTTATTACCATAACCACGAACCCGAACAGGCCAGATGTTGAACAAGATTTCCCCACGTCCATGGTATCCTCAACTCGAATGGGCGGAAATGTACATGGTTGTCATGGATTTTTTTTGGCGCGGAAGGCCACAAAGCGCAAAAGGGCTTGCCACATGGTGGTTTCCAGTAAGATGTCGTCACGATGGTGTTTGATTACTTCAGAGATGAAGTCGAGGGCGGCAGGCGGGGCCAGGCGTTATGGATTTGGATATCGAAGATTGGCATCCTCACCGAAGGTAGGTAGGTTCAGCAGCTCGTCGTCGCTCTTGTGCTTTGAGTCGGTCCAAGATTTTGACTGTCACCTTCTCGTCATCTTGTTCCGCCACCAGAGTTCGAAAATATAGTTCTAGAGATAACATCCGCAGCCACGTGCCTTCTCCCCGGTATATACTCGATCCGAATGTTCAATTGTCTCAGTTCAGACAACTACCGCGAATAGATTCCGTCTGTCTTGTCGGAGTCCAGGAACCAGGTGATAGGCTTGTGGTCTGTCCAGATAGTTGAAGGTTCTGGTAGAATCCCAGAATCAGGGGTGCCAATAACCTGGTCCTAGGTGGTAGCCGCCTTATTCCGGTGCTTGTCTGACTTGTTGTGCCTGTCGAGGTCTCGCTGCGTACCGGCGCTATAGCCGCAATCACCACAGTAAAAATTCTTGCTTACTCGGTTTTCGATTCTCAAATCCTTCTTTCGCTGGACGGACGGAGAGGGATCTTTGGGTTTAACGCCAGACGCCTTGTTCCGGTGCTTGGCTGACTTGTTGTGCGTGTCGAGGTCTCGCTGCGTACCGGCATGGGGGGCGTTCCAGGGCTGGCCTTGGATTTCGATCACAAAATAGGTCCTCAGACAGCGGAGGCGAACCCACGATCAACCGAGTCTTCGGACATGGTGAGTCGTGAGACATGGAGAGTGCCACCCACCATACTTCTACGCCGGCCTTCAATTTGAACACTTCAGGTACATACTAATACATATTAGTATGTAACACAGCCACTCCAGTCAAGATGAGCTCGTCCTCATTCGCAGCGCCGATTGCCGCGCTGGACCACCCCATCATGAACAAGATGATGAAGGAGTTGGTGGCAATGGGCGACCCATTTGGAGGGCTATGCATCGGTTCCAATAACGTATACCAGAGTTTTGTCGTCAGACAAGTACAACGATGAGCGTCACCGGTACTGTTGGGAAGCGTAACGAGCACTACCTCTACACTGGTCTTGCGCGCTATCTCTTCACCTCGAAAGCGAATACGAAGTTCTGAAAGAAATGCACCACCACCGACAATTCCGGCCCTTTCGAAGTGTGCATTGAACGGCCTTTCAGCCGACAAGCGTCCGAATATCATGGGGCGTATGTTCAATATGAAGGCGAATGCGCTGGATAAGGAGCAGAGACAAGGAGCACGTAATACCAATGGAGGGTCATAGAGTCTTTGATGTTCATTCAGTAACAGCAGAGCTGTTGTCAAACCACGTTCAGATTCAATTCAAGTCATGTAGATGTACCGTCCAGTTCCACCACTTGTTCACAACTGATGCTGACCTCATTTCCGTCAAGTCTCGACATGGCTGCCCATCCCGATACCGCGGGCTCAAACTCGAAACAGACAACGAGATCGGAACACAGGATTCTGTCCACAGAGCTTGTGCAGTTAAACATTGGGTCGATCATCAATTCTTTATTCATTTTCAGTGACGCCAAAGCCCTCCACTTCGCTGATATGTAAATGCGTCTCAAACCCAAACACAAACAAACAAACGTATCAAGTCCCAGACCAAAAACCATTCCTGAAAATGACCCTCATGTTTTTTCTCCTGCGTCCCTCCTTCCCAAGCGGCGCCAACCTCCCCCCACACTAACACCTTCCCATCC